TCCACGGTCGAGGCTTTCCACCCCTTTTTCCCGCGTGCTGGCAGCCACCTGATGGCTGGCTGGCACAAGGGCCCGCCGGGAATGAGATGCAGATTGCCAGAGGCCACTTCAGCCGCTAGAGGGAGTGAATTTTTAATAACACCGTGCCCGTATCCGCGGCTGCCCCGCGCGTTCTCCGCGCGCAATCCCATTGTCTTGGCCGCGTCGTACGCGCTGGAAAAAGGACGACGATGCGTAACGGACACCGCGCTATTATTATTATACCGGGAGAATTGTCAGCGACAGGACACACCCGCGCGACTACGGGAATCATTGCGCGTACCACAACCCCGCCGAGCTGAACTGAACTGAACTTTGCTCCGTGGTAACGCGATCCGAAGACAACAGGTTGCGACCGGAGTTTCATTCGATCGCTTTGATTCCGCTCCGTTCCTCGGCAGGGAAAGGGCAATCGAGTCCGCGACGACGATGTTCAACCGTTCAAGAGAAACGAGCGGAACAGCGCGGCGCTCAACAGATTCCTGGAAAACGTTCTCGGAGCCCGGAACGATTTCAAGTGGATAGACCACGTTGTACGCGAGGCTAATCGCGCCAACGATTGGCAGAAGTGAGTCCCCCGATCGATCCGCCGCGAGTGTTAGCTCCTCTTCCAGTGTCATGAATAAAAGATCCGAAATTTGGACGGTCGACTTGCCTGTAATTCCGACCGAACAATTTTCAATAAGATCGCCGTCGGAGCTGCCACGCGTCGCAGGATCCTCCGTGCCTGTTAACGTTCGACACGGCGATAAATTAAGGGAGAAGAGGGCGTACGATCAGAGGTTTCCAACGGATGAAGATGATCGTGTTTCGAACAATGCCATGACACTACGAATGAACGGCTATTTCGATCCGTCAGAAAATGGGTACAGCATTATCGTCGTTATTATTAATTATTTACTAAATCTAACGTAGATCTTTACAGTGTATCAGGTTCCTCTTTTCAAAGAAAAATGGCTGGATCAACGGACGATCGGATACCGAAGGACTGGACCAAGACAGAGGACATTTGCTCCTTGAGCGATTGGTTGAATTCGAGCAAAGAGCCACAGATCGACGAGGAGAAACGCAGGGATCGATGGATCCGCGAGTACGAGGTCGATCCGAGGAATCGTCGCCACGGTACTGGCTAGCTAATTTAAATATCGCGCCGGGCGAACTGAGAACCCTTGCTCTTTGGTGAAGGTTCAAAGGATAAGCCGAAAGATCAACGGGAGAAGCCGGCGTCGCTGGAGTCTCTCAAAGAGACGGTGTTGCAATTGAAAAAAAGCTTGAGCGAGGCTGACAAGAAGGTCCGCGACACTGCCAAAAATGTCGAGGTCGGGAAACCTGGAGAAGGGCCGGACGAACGGGGGACCCGAGGTGAGAACAAACACGGAACGGGAGAGAACGATGATAGAGGTACCCGCGACTAATTTGCTTTTCGTTCGTAAGAAAACGGCGAGAGCCGGTGATATTAGGTTCTTCAACGTTTTTAGGCGATTCCGAGTGTTCAGGGCCGGCTGGCACCTTTGATTTAAGAAAAGGTGACCGGGCTGCTCCCGGAGATCCCGACGATAAGAATGCTCGGCCGAAAGTGTGGAGAACTAAGAGGACCGAAGTTAATAACGGCGATGGTAACCCGAAACTCTTTCACCGGGCGGGGTTTGGGGCGCCGTACCTTGAGCAGCAGGCCCTGAAAGAGCTCCACGACCGTAAAAGACGCAGTAAAGGGACTCCGTCGAATGAGAAACGTTATTTAAACGAACCTCCGGACAAAAACAACGCCGTGGCTCGCCGGAGAAATTCGATAGAGATCTCGGGCGAAGCTGGCTGCAACGGCAGAAGTGATCCCGATAACGGGGACTCTTCGCCGAACGATTCGCGGGAGCGAAAACTGTCGAACGATCTCGGGGATCGTTCGAGGCACGCTGCGAGCAGCGACCAGAGAGGAGCCGGTGATCGGAAGCCGAGTAAAAATTACGAACCGCCCGATCTGGCTCGACGAGACTCGAACGCGCCGGAGAACCGGTTGAGGAACGACGAAAAGGATGAAGATCTCGAGGGAAATTCTTTGCCAACCTTTGGAACCGCGTCGTCGAATGAATTGCAGCCTGTTTCTGCGAAAACCTCGGCCGGTCCGAGCACAGACGACAAGGAGGAGGTTCTCGGCGCGGCCGGGGCGCAGAAAACGGAAGAGAATCGAGAAAACGCTGGCTCGGCCGAGGGAGAACAGGCGATCAAAGTCTTCGAACCTCAGGGACGTCTGTATGAAAACAACGAACGCACAAAGGGAGCGCGGGGGATCGAGTCGGATGAGAACGAGGATGGAAAATTGTCTCAGAAACCGGCGGCGGAGAAGAAAGGATCGGGAAATATTAATATTCTCCTCGAGTCGGAAAACAAGGATGTGATCCAGTTCAGCGATGCCCGGTGTTCGACGCGGAACGAGCAGCCCTTCGTGTTGAACACTCTCGACGTGAGGAAGAAGCTGGTCATGGAGGACGAAGGGCGGCCCAGGAAAACGGTGTCGACGGTTTACAACGTGAAAGTAGAAGAGTCCGGTGTCGGCACTGGCCCAAAGGCTGACCGAAAACCGAAGACCGTACCCAAGCTTGAGGATAAAGGTGAATTGATCGATGGAGCGAGCATATTTAGTTTGGAGAAGAGCAAACCGGGCGAGAACACGTTGCGAGACACTTTCGCGATCACGAATGAAGCGAAGCGAGGAAAAAATGACGAGGGACAATTAAGCTCGCAGACTGGCGAAGAATTCACGGCGAACGGAGATAAAGGTTCTCGAGTGTTCTACGGCGATTTAGGTGGCAATCGGATGAGTATAAACTCGGAGTCATCGATAGCGAAGGAAAACGCAAAAAGGAAACTGGTGAATGGCGAGGGAAGGACAGAGGAAGAGAGGAGAGGAGAGTTCAAAGAGGATAGCACTGTGTCGTCACAGGCAGTCGCGACTTCGACTGACGCGAGCCAGTCTGCGGTGAGCAGCGACCTCAAACCATACGAGGGAAGTAAAAAGAAAGACTATCATGAAATAGTGATAGTTCCCGACGGCACGGTCGATGGGAAATTGAATGATGCATACGGTCAGAGGAGGATACTGCAGTACATGGAGTATTCGAATGACGACGTTGAGAATACAGAATTGAATTACAGCGACAAAGAAGAGGAGGACAGGCAGCAGCAGGCTGGAGAGGCTGGTGAGTTTGACGGCGACGTTAACGATACCGGGGTTGGCTAATAAATTTTCTCTACGGAGAATACAATTTCTCCCGTTCGACGTTTTAACAGAGAGCGGCGGGCCCTCGCAAAGGAAACAAAGGTCCGCGTCGAACGATAAAGGGAAGGCGACGGTCAACGTGATGATACAGGAGAAGCTGAATCAGAAGAAGAAGAAGACGAAAAGAGAGAGCGTGAGAAAGAGACGCGATCCGATTAAGTTCATCGCGTACTACGATTACGATGACGATGTCGAGCAACAAGTTCGCGACACCACTGGCGAACAGGAACGGGTTAAAACAAATTCCGAGCAGAACGCGATCGAATCCAACGTGGGGCTCGGTAATCACGCGTGCACTTCCCGATCGTCGAAAATTCAGAACCGTGACTAAGGTCTCGCGAAGTCGGATCTCGAGAACGTTCTCGTTGTCGATCGCTCGCTTGGTTCGCGTCCAGCGTCTTTTAACCCTTGGACAGAAGGTTTCATCGTGGATCGCGTTCAGCTTCCGATTGAAAATATTTCGACGAAAATCGACGCTTTCGAAACGTCCGGTTTCCAAGGGTTAATCCGATCTGGACGCATCGAACGGAGGAAAATGTTCACGATCACTTGTGAAACGCGATAGAAGCCGATGCGCCGCCTGTCAAGGACGATCGACAAGAGAAAGAGATGCAGAAGCAAAGGGAACGGAAGGAGAAACTAAAGCACAAAGATCCGGTGGAGTATTACTTGCCCGACGTGGACGACGAATCGCAAAACATCACAGCCACAACCGTGAACCCGAAACTGTCGGATTCAGCGTTTAATTTCGAGTCGCCGGATACGAACGGACCATCGAGCGACCGGCAACCGGACAGATTAGATCAAGGTGAAGACAACGTGAAGAGGTCAGCGGTAAACTCTCGATCTTATAGAATCTAAGGAGCGACTCATCGAGATGTATCCTCAGGTTAAATCAGCGGCACGATGGCAAGGAAACGAAGACCTCGGACGACGCTAAGGTTCAAACTATCGTAGATCCAATGAAATATGTCGTAACCGTGGATGAAACAGTGGTTCCCGGATCGATCGACGATATTTTCAACGACTTTCAATTTATAGACCAGAAGTACACTCCTCCCAGCCGATACCAGATTATACTAGAAGTAACAAAAGCACTTTATCATCGTTTTCACTCCGCAGAAACGACAGAGTGGCCAACGACGTAAAGCCGTTGTACGAAGAATTGAAGACGGTGTACGATTGGAGCGACGATCAAGTGAAAATCAAGCCTAGAATTAAAGGAGATCAGAGGCTGCACTGCGAACCAAACGACAAAGTTCATCCCGCGATAAATGTGATCGTGGAATCGCCCACGGATCAAACGGAGGATACGAAGCTTCACGATCGAGATAGAATTTCAGGTAAGCGCTGAAAGTCTTCTCGAACCGTCACGAATGCGCATGTCGTTGCAATTCAGATTCCAGCCCGAACTTGCTGCCTCTTTTGCTCGTCCACGATGGATCAGGCAGCGCGGGAACCGCGGGGAAGTCGTACCTTGTCGAATCATCGGAGCAGCTGGGAAACCCGGCCGCGAGCAACGTTTCCCGGAGTAATTATTTCGCCCTTAAAAGCACGGACGATATGTTTAAAGGGGGTCCGGAGCAAGCAAACAGTACGGAGGAAAAGTTACGAGGACCGAGAGGCGGTATCGGGGCCGGCGAATCGCGTGTACAGAAGGTGAAAAAGGAAACCTAAGCGTTCCCGATAAATTATTACCTCGACTTACTTTCCTTTCGCTCTATAAACCTTGAATCGCAGGTGAACGGAGGCAGAAACGACGCGTTCACGGAGAGAGACGCCGCGGGCCGGTCATTAACAGGCCGGGGGCAATATATTGACACAGATTCGCGTTCTCCTTACGAAAATCGTAAATATCTGGTGCCACCGGCAGCCCGGTCGCCCCGGGAACACGTCCAAAATCTAGATCGAGAGAAACAGACGATAATTAGCTCGAGGGATCTACACGAGTCCTTCGTGGAGCCCTCGGGATGGATCGATGATCTCGACGAGGACGCCCTGGTGCGACTCAGCAGGGGATTGAAGACCGTCGAACGCTTCGATTCGAATTCTAATCTGTCGAGGAACGGGGATCGAAACGGCGGATCGTTGAACACGGCGGTTGGAGTGGGTCCAATGGACGCGTCGTCCGCCGAAATCGTTCGAACTGCAGGCGGCTCATTAAAGGCTACCCTAAAACCCGAAACTTCGGAGCTCGGTTTTATCGTGAATCCAGCCTCGGACCTTCGCGGCTCACGGGAAGAGGACAATGCTAGAGTCAGACGAGAAGCGACGTCTCGTTACGAAACATTTTACGACGACGCGAACGAGCATCTGCGTAATTCCGAGAGCATGGACTACAACCGGTATCCAGAGGGCAGAGTCAAGATGGACAATCGTATACAGCTTTCAAGCTCGCGCGGGCACGCCGACAGTCCCGATGGAATCTCGAGTTCGAACACCGACGTTGCTTACGACTATTCGGAAAACCTACCGGATTACGATTACTACGCGAAGGTGGTCAGAAGCGCTAAGCCGAAGAAACGGGAGAAACATAAGAAGAAGAAGAAGAAGAAGAAGAAGAAGAAACACAAGAAAAGGAAGAAGAGCAAGTCGAAGTATTCAGGGGGCAGCAGGAAACGCAGACATCGCAAGAAGCAGTCGAATGAATCGAAAACGAAGGATCACGATAGGAAGAAACAGAAGAAACGAGTGTCCAAGACCGTGAATCATCGCGCCAATGTTAAGAAGAGTGGAACCGATCAGAGCGCAGAGAAAGTTCATGGCCATAATCATCGGCAACCTTTGAACGAGAGAAAGAGGCATCGCAAAGAAATGGCTGGCCGCGATGTGAGTGATAGGCTGAGAATAGTTCGGCTCGACCAGAATAGTAGGCGGTGTGTAATTTAATTTAAGAGAAGGATCGCGGTAATCTTTTAGAACGCGGACGGTCCGCAGAGAAAGATGGCCTCGCTGCTTTTGGCGGCCGATAACGTGGGAGACGAGTCGCAAATGGACTCTGCTCTTCACGGAGAACTGCCGGGGAAGATCGTGGAACAAATATTCAGTCAGGTACTTCAGTAATATTCTTTTCTGCATCGCACATAGTAAACGTTCATGTGAACCTGTTCAGGTGCAAAAGAACGAAGACCTGAAGGTGTCGCTGGGCCCTGGGCTTCACCGAAATTACAAAACCGACGACGCTGTCGCGAAGAACAAGAGATACAGACAGGCCCTCGATGAAAACGAAGTGAGTCGAATATTTCAATTATTCTTTCTACGGGGAACAGAAATGAAATATTAGAACTCGCCAGACGAAGCACACGAAAGAGCTGATGGACAAAGTTATGCTGCTACTGAATCGTCTGGTGTTCGACGAAGTCGAGAGGAAGACTTGCATGTCTCTGCCACCGGATTTGGTTCAGTTTCTGGATTGGATGTTGGAAGTCAATCCAGGGGAAACTCCACAAGAACAGGTATCCATGATTATTAATAGTTCTATCGAATTAAATCTTATGATCGAAACTCCCCACGGTCACGACACAGTTGCTATTATTTCTTCTCAGTATCATCCGTGAAACATTCATTTCATTTCAGTTACCATCGCTGCCACTGATTCACTCGGTGGAACCCGTCGAACACTTTCCACGGGAAAAGTTCCTCTTCCAGGCTAACCGAGGCGAACGAGAGGAGGACAGCGACGTCGTCGAGATGCATAAGAAGCTTCGATTAATAGAAAGCCTGATAAAAGAGTACAAAGCGCTGTCGGAAGCGGAGAAGTCGAAGGTTCAATCAGTCCACGATTACTTGGCAAGTTTCGAGCACCGTTTAGTCCCCCGAAAAACGTGTCTCTACGATTTCCGGTTGCCTTCTGCTAGGGGAAACAACTGGACGCGATGCTGGAGTACGCCGAGGCGAAGCAAGAAACAGAAACGGAAGGGAAGTCGTCGTCGTTCCCGGGCCGAGCATCCAGAGGGAACGCCGGGAGAATTGTTCGGTATCAAACGGGAACGAGGAACGCGACGATCGGCGACGGTTTCACGGGGCCGGCGCGATTTTCTTCGGCGGTGAGCGTCACGGACACGCTGAAAGTCGGCGACAAGAACTTCTTCGTGAACGGGAATGACTTTCGCGACGGTACGTCGCTTCTGCCGGAGTAACGTAATTTGGCACGTGTTCTCGTCCGCGTGACAAAGGGCTCCCGTCTGCATTTCAGGGCGCAGGGTTGCCAGAAGCGTGGACAAACGTCCAAAGCGGCGTAAAAAGCACCGCGCAAAAGGAAGACGTGAAAGGAACCACGGGAAGCGTCACAAAGGTGCAAGTACTATTGATCAGACGCGACACGAGGACGCTGTCCACAAAGCTGCTGCCTCGCGACAGAAGCGTCACTACTTGGACAGAGATTTTTGGGCCTCGTTTCACTCGGGATACGAGGCGCCGCTGATCTATAACTCTATGGACATGATTAACGCGGAGCCGAGCAACGGCGAGCTTGAAAGGATCCCGAGTTCCGGGGATGAAGATAGGAAAGAGTACGTGTGACAAATGCATGTGTTCGGCTATTTGCATTCATTTCGTTGCATCTGTGTTCATGGAACTAGGTATACGGAAGACGTACTCGTCAAAGAATTAAAGGAAATTGGAGATCACTCGAGATCGGAGACCAGTGATTCGATAAGCGAGAAGGAACCTGCAACGATGAAGTGTACAACGGGGCAAGGTAAACTCGAGGTACTTGAGATTAGAAAAGAATATAATTCAAATAGAAACGGTAAGTTATGATCAGACGCGACAACTGACTGCTGTTCAGTTGAGAAAAAAGCTTCGAACGGAACAATTCAGTTATTATCGTAGTAACTCGTAGTAGCTTCTGCTGTTTTGGACCCGTGGAATATTATAATTTACAGGTCTAACGGTAACGGAAGAGGAGCCGATAACCGGGAAAAATCAAGTGGAAGATGAGATACTGTTACTGAACAAACGACAGTCGTGGAAGAAGGTGAACGAGGAACAACTGGAGGAAGTGGCTTTCGGCGAGGACATGAGGAAAGGGTTGAAGGAGAAGGAGCTGTTCGAGAGGCTGACCGAGATCGACAAGGAGAGGAGCGCGTCGGAGTCGAGCGCGAGGAATAACGGGAAGGACAATGGTTCTTCGATCAGTTCGAGCGCGGCGGAGGCCAATGATTTACGGGGGAAGCACGCGAGGGATTACAGTCTCAAAGATACTTATTCATCGGATGAGGACAAACTCGGAAATCTCGAAGAGAAGATAAACGTTTATTCGGATAACGACCGCGACGCACGGAGGAAACAAGAAACGGGAGGCGAAAGGTGAAGAAAGTTACGAGGAGAGGCGACCGAGCCGACAAGTTCACCGGCAGCCAACCAGACCGCGATAAATTACAAGCTCAACTGAAATGTTAAAGAGACAGCGGAGTGAAAAGACTCGATTAAGAACCCGCGGAGCTAAACGAGGCTCGACGATTAAGTGGACGGTTGAAAAACAGGTCCCGGACAATGTCGAATCAAGTTCCTGGAAGCGCTCGATGAGTTTCATCGGCAAGTTCCGCGGGGAACCCGGGAAATGGCGCGCGGAGTCTCAAAGAATGCCGAACATCCATCCTCCCAAGTTTCGGACCTAACTTCGGGGAAACTACAAGCGGAAGCGTAACACCGGATCGTTTTAACCGGCGCCTCTTTACCATGCAACGAAGCCGACGATGCCTCCGCGAGCAACGCGGACACCGCCGACAATCAATTCTATAGCTGTACGAAAGGAAATTTATAATAAAATTTTATTCCCGAACGAGCACTTTCGGATCCATTCGCTGCGCCGCGTCGGTACTCGAATTTTCATTTTCCCCGTGAATCTCTCCTTTCCTCCGGCGAATACATACATCTAACGCGAATAAAGTATCGACTCGAGTCGAACACGCGGAGTATTTACAGGCGGAGTAATTGTATTTGCGATAGAATTGGCGCGACGCCGCGTAATATCGTGGTAAACCCAGCGGGTCCGCGCCGTTGCTTGACAGCGGCCGTCTAAATAATTTCATCAGATACATCGATCGGCGACGAGCTTTATCGTAATTGACACGTTCGGTCTATCTGGCCGACAGCCGGCCCAGCGAAACCTCGTAAATCGTCCTGTCGTTGCGATCAACTGGACGGCCTCTCGCGTGTTTGCACGCACGTACAACGGCCCCGCTAATCTACGTACGAAAACCGGCCGAAGCCCTCGATTAGCGGTGGCTAATTGCTCTTCAAGAACGACGCGGCGCCGTCGAAACGGCACCGACCCGGCACGACGGATTAAAAATCGCGGAATTTGTTGCTCGAGCCGGTTCAAGCATCCGCCGTTTACATTGAAAAGTCAAACATCCGGCGAGGCGTGTCGGAACGCCGCGGAAGCGGTGTACCTCGCTTCCCCCGGCGCGTTGTAACGTATTTAAACAAGGTGTAATTGCGGTAACGATGTTGGCTCGTGGTTTCGTAGCGCGGCCGCGGCGAATAAAAATTCTATCGAACGATCGGCCGGCCCGTACCGCCAGCTCATTGAACATTAACGCCGCGGCGAGGGTTCGCCTCACCTTGCCCGGAATACATTTATACAGTAAATTATCGGTCCCCGGCGAGACAGACCGACAATTTTCTCCCCTCTACGAATTCCGCCTCGCTATATAAGAGGCCGGAGTCATAGGAAAACGGCGCATAACACAAATCGCGAGCCACCGGGTGCAGGTGTTCCTAAATAGGTGATGTTTCGGTGTCCTCGTCGGAAATTAGAGCACGACGCGTGGTCTCTAATAAAGGATGAATATCTGATCGCGAGGCAGACGCACGCGCAGGGACGACGGAGAAGTGTAAAATGAGAAGGCGGTTGCTGCGCGAGGAAAAGGAAATTTTTGAAAAAGCTCTCCCGGTTACGGCGCCCGTAAACTTTGCAACTTTATTGCTCCCTGCGATGGGTGCACGTATACGGCGTTACCATCGAACTCATTTCTCGAGGAAGCGGAAAGGATTAGCGCGGACGTAAGATATTCGCGGCCGCAGTGCATCAAGAGTATCTGCAATCGCAACGAAAGAGACGCTTCATCCGAGAGAGGGCCGCGTCTCCGCGGAACTCGCTCGACTGTCTGGGCGATATCGCAATCGCGAGATTGGGCGCAACAGCGACGGCGAAACTGATTAAATCTCGCCACGGAGAAAGAGTATCTCATCGCGATGGCGCTCCTCCGCTCTCGCCCCTCCGCGAGCGTCTCCGAAAAAACCAACGGGTAGGAACAACGAAAAAAATATGCACTCCCAGCTCGGCCTCCCTCCTCGGCGGCGCGGTGGGCACGAAATATCTCGAAAAGTTTCCTCGTAAAGTAAGTCCACGCGGCGGAATTCCCCCGGGCCAATTAAAGTCCCGAAATCGGACTAAGCGCTCGCTTATGCAGGCGAGGGCAAGACGGAATACGGAAAAGGGACGCGGATCTAACAACCGCGTCGGCCTCGGCGAACGTTATTACTTATTCGACTCGAGGATTTTAAGGGTGGCCGAGGCGCGGATTTATTTAGATATTCCGCCGGCGAGCATCTGCTCGAGGTTCGACTGGCTCCCGCCCGGCCCGGCCGTTTCGCCTAGCTGTCTGTCGCTCTCCGCTCGCATTAATATACGGAGGACGAGAGGAAGAGGGAAAGTGTGGCGTGTCTGCAACCGTCCGTAAACCCCTGCCCCGCTATTTTTACATAACATTAAGTTCCTTGTAACGGAGCCGCTCCGTTCTGCTCCGCTCCACTCTGCTCCGCTCGGCTCCTTCCCCGACCGACACGGTGCTCGGTGGTTGGGTCACTAATGGGGGTTAAAACGCGGAAGCGGTGTCGCGACACCAGACGCGCGTACACGGGAGGAATTTCCACCGATCGACTTTTCACCCTTTGCAGTCGTCGCTCGTCAACGAAACGCCTCGAACGCCTCTCGACGGTCTCGCGATCCGCGCGAGGTTCTCGCGTACTCTCCATTCCGCGGGAGAAGAGTCTTGAAAGAAATGCGGCTGTAATTCATCGGTTTTCATCTGTTCTCGTATTAGTTTCGACACTGATGTAGAGATTTCAAACGATCGGGAGATTTAACGTTGTATGTATTCTTTATCAATGAAACTCGAACACGATTTTACTCGCGACTCGACTCTGTGATGTCTTTCTGCTGTCAGTTCCGCGTTTTCATTTCGCGATATTCCGCTTCTGTCTTTTCGATGTCCTGCGTCTCCACAGCTCGTCGCTCCGCAGTGTCGATCGACTATCGGGTTAAGTCGGGTTAGGTCGAGACAGTTACACGTAATTAATGAGAAGCAAAAAAAGAAACGTACACCGAGACACTCGGAGAGCGAGAGGCTCCTCTCCTGTGCAACGGACAACGCGTTCGATTTTCAATCGCGGGGAAACTCGCGGGGCGAGTGATCTATCGGCGCGCGACCGGTCTATTGATTTCCCGGAAGCCTGGCATCGGCGTTGAGACGCGCGGCGAGCCACTCGACGCGCGGCTCACATGGCATTTTTAATAACGCGTACCGGCGTGAACGCATTAATATCGAATTCGCCAGCTTTTCAAGGCGCGCCGATGCGATCCGCGCGCGCGGACGTGGAAACGGGAGAACGGAGACGAACAATCCGGTACAATGGACGGGGTACTCGATTATTGGGGGATAGATTCGTCGTACCCGTGATACGATAAGTACACATTGTTCGACACATTGTTAGTCGCTGTCGTTAGCCGCGCGTTGGCCACGTTTTTCAACGGTGATACCCGTCGACGACCTCAATTTACCGGCGCGGCCATCGATCGAGCCCGACCGAGTCGAACGCGAATCCGTACCTCTTAATTGGAGAATGAATTCGACCGCGGCGCGGAATTATTCACGACAGCACGGCTCACCGACGGTGGGTGCTAGTTTCGATACCGTTTATGTTAGCCGTAACCGATACGGGATCGAAACTAAGTGAGTCTTCCGGTCGTGCTATTTAAGGAAACAGCGCCGCCGTTTAATGCCGCTAACTCGACTTTACACCCGAATCGATTATCGAAGAGATGTTCGCGTATGTATTCGAAGGCGAGATACATACACTGTTCGGTTATAGATTATTAATAAATCATTGTCGCTGATAATAAACCTTGCGCGCATTCTGCTTCTCGTTCAAAGCGATCGAAACCGTTGTAGATATATTAACCTTTTGCGGACAAAGGTTCATGGAAATATACGAAATCCGCAGCAAATGAAGCTAAATCATATATGAATTGCTTAAACAATAGAAAAAACCGGTACTACGCGTCTATCCCTTGCTCTTTGAATTAAATTATTTGTCTGCGACTTAGTTTTCCGAATACAAAAACTTCATCTCGCCAAAATGTGGAGAGTCGTTCATAAAACGACGTATTTCTAAACGGAAGATGTATTTTCCGCGTTCGATGCGTGAATAGCTATTGCGACGGACGCTTGGTTCATTGGATCAAATACTCTTTTACCTGGGGCAATACAAGGTGAATAACATTCGGCCGATAGGATCGATTAAAAAGTAAACTTCACTCGGTTTCCACCGGCGGGAAATAGTTGCAACACGTTCCGCAACAAAGAGGTGGTTGCCGTGTCCATTGCTCCGGCAGAAGAAAGTTCGAAGAACGAGAAGCGAATACAAAGAGGAGAAAAAAAGAAAGCGACGAACGAAGGGAGAGGAAAAGGTACCGAGTAAAAATCCCGGCGGAAAGGGAAAAGTGGGTGGTGGTCGGCCGCTGGGACAGGGTCTGGCACGCACCCCCGTATGACAGATGGTATTTTCGCGTATCATGATCGCGGCTAGGATAGTTTCCTATATCGTGGAATATACAGCCCCGGCCTGGCATCGTCGACATGTCGATAGCAGGCCTCGCCGTGCGATACATCCACCGATATCCCTGTACCATGGGTATCCGCGGACCATCCCCTTCGTTCGACCGCTAAATGGCCAACCGGAGCCACCCCCATGGTGCTCAATTATTGATACTTACCCCTCGTGCCGCCTAGCGTTTCCCCGGCTGCATGTTCCCGATGCGTTGTGTCCTTCGATCCTGTCTACGAGGATGCATCTATCCACCATCGAGGACCAAGTGAGCTTGTAAACGACAATTTTCCTGAAATGACGCATGCTCTGGTCAGTATTTGATCGTTTCGCGTTCTGTTGTCTCGCTTTACCGCGACAGTTTTACGCTCTGTTCAATTTCTAGCTGTGGTTCGATTAAAGTTAAACTCTTTCAAGGTAGTGACATATGCGTTCATATTTCATTTTCATTCGATAAGAGAGTTGAACGATGTTCGACAGATTTCAATTAATTGATAGAGGAATTGACGAAAGAGATAAAATAATCGAAAAGCGAAAGATTGTAATTTACGGAAGTAGAAAAATTCTTTA